AAAGGAAGATAACTGTTGGAGAAGGCTCAATTTTCTATTGGTGCCATGAAACTCTCCAATTGCTGCAGTTGACGATCTCTCTGCAACTTTTTCTATAATGCTGTAATGAAGAGAACTCCCACCATCATCTTTTAGGCTTTTAGCCTAGTTTAAGATTAAAGGGTTCTTGACCTCAAAGTACAAGGTGAAGCAAATGAAAGAGAGAATGCAGAAGGTAGAAACAAGTTGTTTGTGATTGATTGGTTAAATCCCTATTTGTTTCCTAATCATGGAGTCTGTAGTCACATTTTGTCATTTATGTTCATGGAGTGCCTGTCATTAGCGCTGTCGGTTATTAATGCCTGCATTTGGTCTGATTTTCTGGTTATTGATTTCAAATTGCTCTTGATGTGAAAATGAAAGGGTCAATAATGCATTCATGACATCAGGGCATCTTATTTTCTGTCTATTGAGAGGTCCACCACGTGTGTTGTTCTGTTCCCTTCAATCTTATATTTTTTCACCTCCAAAGTGTGTAATGGTGGACCATAACTTTGATTCTTCTCCCCTTTCCAACAAGTAGAGAACAGGTTCTGTCAATTTTTCCAGCAAGAAGGCTCTTCCGATTACAAGATTCCAAAACTACAACAGGATTCATACATATCTTTCTGATGGCAGATTCTTTCCCTTAAAGCATACCCTACAATTTCTCTTGAGAAATAAGAACAAAATTGTAATTAGAGACCACAGGGCAAGAAGAAACTATATTCTATTGCTTGTGTAATAATTACATGTCGGCTTGTGCTCTAGGAAATTAGCTAGTTGAAGGAGCTGCCTTATGCTCTTGTACACTACAAAACTTTAGGAAGTCAGGACGATCTTCCAAGAGTAATCCGTCATGAACTTCTAACCTGCAAATGTGCAGGAACTCCTTGTTCGTGTCTCCTGATTTGAAGCAACCCTCAACCAGAACTTAGATTCTACAGTCTGCAACCAGTCTCAGAGCAGCTAACATCTGCTAGTGCTATATGGTGCTGCAACTTGTAAATCTTTATAGCCAGTCGAGAGTTTAGCTATTGTCTCATGTCCCTTTATCATGTCATTCAGAAAAGTAAAATGTTCAGAAATCGCCCATGATTGTAGACTATAATATATGGGAAGTATTCCGTATTAAACTATACGTTATGCATGCTCTACTCATTTGAACTTGACAGGTTTCATTATTTTATTTTACATTTCTGTATGAGAAGTAGACATTTATTCAATTGCATATGCCAGAATAGTGCATGATAGATGCTTGGGTCTGTGTTCATGACATGAGAACCATTGTCACTGGAAATGTTAGTAGTGTGTAACTTCCCTAACTTTTATGACACAGTTTTGACCATGATCTGGTAATCAAGTAGACAATAAATATGATGTGCCTACCTGGTGGATGATTCTCCAGATTCTCAGCATCCTTACTTGTACTTGGCTTACTCGAACTTGGCTGGCCTGTTGCTTGATTCTGTAAAAACATATCCCAATGATGCCAATTTTTAGATAAGTTAAGAACATGTGAATAGTCCAAACATCTAAAGAAAACTAGGTGAGAAACAAACATTACTCTCAAAACACTAGAAGTGATAATAGCATGTAAAGATGGCCAAAGTAGTGCCAGAAATAGACATCTATGCAGCAAGTGAAGGCAAGCGAAGAAGCCGAACATCACCTGTGGAAGGGGTAATTGCATTTGGTGGAGACCGAGATACTGTTGATAAGGATCGGCAAAACCTGACATCCATGGCTGGTTGGGAGTTTGCAGGCCTAGTGAGCCTAGCATGGCATCTGGCTGGTTTGGTTGGATTCTAGATGGATCTGGCGCAGGTGGTGGCATATGAAAGGCAGGCATAGGAAACCTTGGACCCAAATGAGCTGCAGCAGCTGCTGTTGGCAACGATGGACCGGCTAGAACATTGGGAAATGGCATCATTGGCCGACTCATACCCATATCCACTCCCATCCCCATCCCCATCCCCATCCCCATCCCCATTCCCATTCCCATTCCCATTGGTGGCATGAATTGCTGGACGCCAGGAAACATCATTGGTACCATGCCACATCCCATGGACATCATCTGTGGAAATTAATTAGAATCTAATCTTTGTCATAAAACAATGCATGTTCTCATAGTTTAATACATAAAATAATGATTAATTTAGTAAAGAATCAAAACAAATAACACAAGCTTCCAGTTTGAACTGCACCTTGTGCAGAATGAGAGAAGTTATTGTATGTAAATGCATTCCCATAAACGAAACAAATATACATTTGAGCAGCCTTCTTTTGGCTTTTGGCCAATTCAAGGAACTTTGTCTAGACAGACTATTACTAGTGAAAAAAAAAAAAAAAAAAGACTGCTGGAAAGGTGTAGATTTAAGGAAGAGAGAGTGCAAGGATGAGAAAGCTAGATAAAAACTTTGCTTAATGGACACAGGCTTTCAAGGCAATAATCCTGCATTTCAGGATTTGGAATGCGAAGATTTATATATATTGGTGGGTCATGAAATACGGATATGTCAATCCTAAGGTATTTGATTGAGAATGGTTAACGCCTTAAGGGAAGAACCGTTGATTGAGCCTAATTTCTTCTATGGCATGTCCTTCCCACTTTCCTAAAATAAATGCTAAAAATAGTACTTCCTCAGTTCACAGATTTACTTGTCCTACTTACCATATAACAGTGTTCTAAATTAGTTATCCATTTTCATTTTCAAAAAGACATTAAATGATGGAAGCATTATCATCTTTTCTCTTAAAAAAAAAAAATAGAAGAGTGAAAATTCAAGGTTCTTACTTATAATCAACATCAAAAAGACCATCTTACATTGTAAACTTGCCTTGAATACTCGGTATTTTTACTTCCAGGTAAATTATTATCTTTTGCTCATTTTAGTTGCAGTGCGAATTTTGTTCTCTTTAATAGCAGGGTCTCTCACATATATAAGCACTACAGAACATTCTTTTTTTTGGATGAAATGTGAATTGCATTTATCCATAATGACCAAAGCCCTACAGAACATTCAAATGAGACACGAAATGGAGTAAGTTTTTTCTCGGGCAGCAGCACCAAGTTGCGATCGACATGAAATATACATGTTACAAGAATCATACACATATTAGTCACATTTATAAATGCATGTAAGAGAAAAACGACGTCTGTACAGTTTTAACTTTTAAGAACAAGTATCTTTGGGTATGTTAATCAATTTCTTTCAAGGGAATAAAGCCATGACACTACAAGTATACATTATAAAATAAAATCCAAGGAAGAGCATACCTGAACTTGCAACTGAAGTGATTTAAGGTACTCAATTGCCTCGTCCAGCATTGAAGCCTTGTCTGACTGCAAAGAGCACATTGTGCAAGAGTTAATAGCTGGAAGTGTGCATGTCAGTCATTGAAAGAGAGTAATAAATCTAATCCAAAAAATTAAACCTTAATGCTAAGTAAAAACATCATATAGAATGATATACATCACAACCTTGTTGCAACGAGGTATGAGTTCTTGCAAAGCCCTCATCTTTTCATTTATTCTGTCTCGACGTCTCTGCATTTGAACACAATATTACGTCTTATGGAAGGAAAATAAATAGAAAGGAAAACAAATTCATGGACAATACTATGGCATTGATAGAAATACACACCCTCTCCGACAGATTATGGACCTCTGCAGCACGAGATCTCTTTGTGGATGTTGATCCACGGCTTTGTTTCTTTGTATTGGGAGATTCAAACTCAGCATCCTTTGACAAAATGAAACATATCAGAAACGAAGGGAGCATATAAAGTTGCAGAATCTTTAAACCTCTAAACAGACATGCCATCATGCAAAATCACAAAAATTTGCTATTTACATAGACAATTATTATTATTATTTTAGGAAAACAACTGGTACACTTTCTGGTTTAACACCACCAACACTCACTAGTTTAGTTATTAAAATTTGTAGTTGAGAATTTTCCTTATTGAATTCAAATTTGAAAATAATAATTTCTTGATTAGTATGTTAACCGAAAGGTTTGCCAATTATTATCCATTATTTTAACATACATGGACAATTGTTTTGTCACAACCTCTTCTAGGTAACTTCACTGTTATTGCAGCTAGCCTAACCAATATCAAATGTTTTTGGCTGAAAAATCCTTTACTTGGCTAGCAATCTGGCTGAGAACCCCAGTTAACTGCCAAAGTTCCAGGATGCTTGTAACAGATTGAAGTAAAGCTACCAGTGACCACATATTGAACTCTTCTACCTATTGGCTATTGCGAAGTTAAATTTTGTTCAAGAAAGAAACCTCTAGCTGCTTCACAAAGGCTGCCTTTGAACCTCTCCTGGAATGTCATTCCTAATTAAAAGTCATATTGAGAGAGAGAGAGAGAGAGAGAGAGAGAGAGAGGAAAATAACTAATGGATATTCCTGTCTTGATTCTTTAAAGAAGTTGAAGAGTAAATAAATTAATAATTCATAGAAGAGGTAAAGTTTTTTTATTCCTCCACGTTCCATGCCTTTAGGTATATGTGATATGAACCATCTAATTTTGGATTTTAGACAGCAATTGTATCGCTTTTATTGACTCTAAGGTCACCTTACAAGTTATAACTGCGGAACCATGAAACTATGTATACAGTATACACTCCTCCTAAACTGTATATCCAGGCCTTTTCTATATATACAAAAATGAGGGAACAGGGGATTTGAATTTGAGATCTCCCAAAACCTCATTGGCCCCTCTGGGCCTTTTTTACATTGGAAACAATTTAGTTCTTCATGCTGCTTCTCTCCAAAATGCAATATGATTCTTCCCATCTTAATTATTCCCTTTACCTTTCCTCCTTGAAAATGTAGCACTGCATGCAGGACTCAAAAGATATTTTTATGTTGGGACAATGGGACTCTATTTAGGGCCAGCTTTAGAGGAAAAACCTCTAACAGACTTCCCAGAAACAACCAACCAAAGAATTTATCCATTATTCCCTCCAGAACTAATTTTCTGCTCTAACAGCCTAATAGTTTTTAAGTAAATTAATAACTCAAATTAACCTTGGCTTTCAAGATTAATACTTCATTTATTGACACTTCTTGGTGTTCTAGCTTTTAGTTTTTATATTTTTATTATTTTAAAAATATATAAAATTTTAATTAAAATAAATATTAAATATATTTTATATTTAAAAAAAATTAAAAAATTAAAAAAACCTACAACTACAATTATCACTTAATACTACCAAATTAAGCCTAATTAATTAATAATTTTTAAAAAATATTGTTACGATATATCTAATAAAATCACAAGACGAGCGAGAACGTAGGTAAGTTGGATTTGCCATATTGGGATGTGCTCACTTTTACTTTTTCTAACTTTCCCTTTTTACTGCATATATTTTTGAACTCCCAAGTTAGTCCATCCAAATTCCAAAAGCCAATAGACAACAGGGCAATAGGACGACTGGACGAGACAACCAGTCCTAGCCCCGAGATACGCGCAATCAAACATAGTAGTGTTAAGTAGTAATCATTTTTTAAAATTTTAGAGTTAGTAAATAAAATTTCAATGACACTGCCAATTGCCAAACCTCCATCGTCCACCAATCATATATCAATTCGTGTCCTCTTACCGTACTACCACTGTACACGTGGCCACACCTAACTAGACACCACTGCCAGTTTTACTGATCATAACACATTCCTCAGTCCGTTACCTCCGGGTTAACTTTCAAGAGAAAGTCACCAACCGCGCACATTAGCCGAGAAAACAGGTACCATGAATAGGAAAGAGAGAAAAAAAATTCCAAAAGAAATATTTATTTTAAAAAATTTTATAATTTAAATTATTTTAAGAATTTTTTTATCTTATATTATTAAAAGTATAATAAATATATTTTTTATAATTAATTTTTATTAAAAAATATAAATATAAATTTAAATTTAATTAATTAACTAATTAAAATTATTTTTATAGATAGTGATGTTGTCCATTTTTATAATTTTAATATAAATTAATAAAAAAATATAATTAATCAACTTTTAGACTCACGGATTAAGCAAACCTAATAATAAAATTTTATAAATAATTGTAATAGTAAATTTTATAAGCCACTAACCTCACTGCGACACTCGGCGTCTCCGGCGGCTTCTCGATCTTTCCGTTTCCGGTCCTCAGCAGCCACCTTCGGAGCCGCTGGCTCAGCGCTGGCGCTTGAGCAGCCAGGTGATGACGTCACCGTCAGCTCGCACGTGGCCAAATTCTCTCTGCTGCTAGCACCAGCACCGATGCTAACACCCGCGGAGTGCGTGCTCGCCGCCACTGCAGCGGCCCCGATGGCTATGGTTCCGCACGCATTGTTGTTGTTCCCGCCAGATGCGCCCTCGGTGTTGCTAATGCTAGGCATCGCCCGGAAGCCTCTGGATTCGGGAACGACCGCAGGCGTGTCGCACGAATCAACCACCGTCAATTCCCTCACCACGCTCTTTGAATTTGACGGCCCTGATGGTTCTGTCCTCACCTTGTGCCTCGAGAAGTGCGCGAAGTTCGGGATTCTCGACGACTCCAACTCGGTCCTCCGCACCGGCGGTATTGGTGGCCTCGAGGACGACGCCACAGCAGAAGCAGATGCTGGAACCGGTAGATGACGAGGCTCGACAGGTTGTTCAATTGGACGGACAGGAGGAGAAGCGGTTGTCGTCGCTATTGAGGTAACGCAAGGAGCAGAAGGATATAGAATATCGGCGCAGAAATCGTTGTCGAAATTGGCGTCGTTGAACGGATAATGAAGCCAGGAAGCCATTTCATCTTCCTGCATAAATAGATTATCGGTTACTGTTTGCTGTTGCTGGTGGTGGTGATGTGACGGCCGGATCTCCTTGGAAGCTGATTGGTCACCGTCCTGGTGTTTCGACGGCGGCGATTTCTTAAACGACCTCTGATTTTGGCTTTGCATGACCAGCTGCCCGTTCTGCCATAACAGTTCCATGATCTCATCCTCCGGCCTGTTCCACCTTTACCAATCAGTAAAATTCAATTCAAAATCCCACAAATTCAATAACAAACAAGAAGGAGAACTTACACGGGAGATTTCCTGGGTCGATTTAAAGTTGAAGACGACAGAATTGAGTAATCATCATCCATTTCGAAATCAGGTACACAGTGATTCATCCTCCAAATCTTTTCAAAAAAAAAAAACTTAAAATCAACCAATCGAAGAGCATATCAGAAAGAGTCTCTCCAGTACTGGAAACCGACTTTGATGATTCCACTTAACACAACCGTAATGAATAAAGATTCCTGCCTTGTTCTACTTCTTCTTCCTCCGGAAGTAAGACACAGGACTACCTACGTCTACGGCACCGGCAATGGCAAACACTTTTGCTGCTCTTCCAGCTGGGGAAATCTTCGGAAACGAATCTGTGACTAGAGTTATGGGAAATGGAGGAAAGTATATTTTTTTCTGAGAAGATTTTGTGTTGGGTGTTTGTTTGTTGTTTCGTCTTCACTACCCCTGCTTTTTGAGCCAAATGTCTTTTCTGCAGGAAAGATAAGGTCATACTCTCTCACCGAATAATATGAAGGACGGGGCATTGTATGTAGTATATTATCTCCCCTTTCTTTCCAATCCATATGTTTTTTTCGTCTTTATTATTGTCCATAATTACGAGCTTAAATTGAGTTCTTGAGCTCTAAAGGTGAAAGAAGAAATTGTGATTTTTGAATGGATTAAAAGGCCTAATATGTTTTCAAGGTTTTTTATCGACTTGCTCTTTCCTTGTCTTTGCCCCTCCTCCATCACTACATCTTTCTGTGGATAATTTGACGGTAGTTATTACATGGGACCCTGGCCTGCACTAGATTATGTATTTTTTTATGCTCAAGTTGCATGTCTCTTCTTTACCACCATTACTTTAAACTTTCTATTATAATCACAAAAATTATTTTATAATTTAATATAATACAAATAGTAAAATCATATATACTTATTATAATCTTTATAATAACACTTTCAAAAAATTTTAAAAATAAAAAATATTAAAAAATAAGTTATCATGCTTAAGTTAAAGACATTGGTATTAATATATAATGAGAAGATCGTTTACTTTTATTTTTTTTATTTTTTTACGTTGGTTATATAACATAAAACAATTCTCTTTTATTTATTATCTCATCTCACTTACATGTCATATAATTTGAATTCATAATTTTTAATCTTTAGTAAAAAGATATTATGATTAAATTATTCAGATAATTAAAAACGATTATTTTATCTTAAATATCAAAACCTTTACATATATGATATAATAGTTTGTGATTTCACTATTTGCGAATACAGAATTCTTATTTACTTCAAACTTTAATTTTAAGTCCAAGTTGCTAATTGCATCTAAATTTTATGATTCAATAATTATATATTTCTTTGTAAAATATACTTTTCAACTGTAGAGTTAAACTTCGAATCTTCCTCCTCAAATTGTGATTTGTTCAAAAAAAAAAAAAAATCCAAGTTCTTAATTTGTTTTGCTCGCTTATATCCTTGTTTATAATTAGAGAATAAAGAATAATCAATACCTGTATTGAAATGTTGAGTACCGCATTTTGCAGCTTTCCTCTTTACTAATCATTTGTTTATATTAGTTCAAAAAAAAAATCATTTGTTTATATTGATTGGATATCATCTTTTCGACATGTGATAATTTTGTCGGGAGTATTAGATTAAGGGAGCTAATAATCTATGTTTGTCCCATGTTTTGGTGATTTGTTTATCTGATGAAGTCAAATTCAAGAAGCAATACTTATGGATAACAATAAAAACTACTTTTAATTAGTATGTTTTAAAATAATGATTGCAACTTAGTCCCTACAATAAACTTATAAGAGTTATTTTATTTTTACTTTTAAGAGAATAGGTTAAATATTTATTACTATTATTATTTTATAATTAATTTATATAAGAAAAATAAAAATTAATTTTAAATTTATTAATTATCTAACTAAAATTATTTACGTGATACTTATATAAAAATAATAT